TAATCAAGGGGGTTGTAAGTCTGGGGGGTTAGGTCACCAGATGTAAGGGGCGATGTGGTCGCAGAAATTGTCTGACAGCTAAGACTAGGTTCTCCTGCTTGTGTGACATGGTGCAAAATCCTGTTGCCAGATATAGGGTCTTCCAGCTGCTGCCCTCTTGACTCAGGGCAGCACTATGACTTCAACACACTTTGATGTAGATCTCTGTGTTGAGCTGCATACTTTAACCAACAAATTCGGGAGTTCTTTTCTTATCAGACTTAACAGAGTGAGTTTTCCAAGCTGCTGTACCTTTGTAATCACCATTAGACTCCTCCAACTCTTTCCAAATCCTCTAAACTGTCCTCAGATTAACACCCAGACACTTTGAAATGTTCGTATTGGAGCTTCCAGCATGAATGCTAAGCATGCCATTTCCAAATTTGTGGCAGAGGAAATTGCATCTTGGTGCTCTTTTTCTCACAGATGGTGCCCAACTGACCCTATTATGCTGTGCAGGCAACAAAATCAAAAACAACACACATGTGCGAAATGAAAAATATGAAATGATGACAATTTCCCCATTGTTCCGTGTGTGTGTGTGTGTGTGTGTGTGTGTGTGTGTATATCACTCTCTCTCTCAAAATATATATATATATATATATATATATTAATTAATAGGAGGATTTGATAATTATATTTAATTAATTCATCGAGTCTGATAGAAACCTCAACAGAATGCAGAAAACACTGGACGGCCGTTTCATCCTATATTTGGGACTCATCAGCAGTGCGCATCCACTACCGAGAATATTCCGTGGCGGAACTCAACTGAGCTCTCTGTAACCATAGGACTGTGCCCCCTGGAGCCACGACTACTCTCACCAAGCCGCTACCAACTGGAGCATTAGAAGCCGGTTCAAGCGATGATAAACACAGATAGTAATTAGTAGGAGGATTTGATAATTATATTTAATTAATTCATCGAGTCTGATAGAAACCTCAACAGAATGCAGAAAGCACTGGACGGCCGTTTCGTCCTATATTTGGGACTCATCAGCAGTGCGCCACGTAATATGTGAGTGAGCGGCGCTAAGTTGAGTCTGATTTGGAATCTCTTCATCACCGAGACCCATTTGGAACAGTTGGTATGATGTTCGCTTGACAACCTAACTGTCGGGGTTTCAATTCTCGGTAGTGGATGCGCACTGCTGATGAGTCCCAAATATAGGACGAAACGGCTCTTTAGGTTTATATTAGGTTTGCTCTACTTCGTGTATTTAGCACTTTACGTACTTACCTTTTACTCGTTTTGTAGGTTTTTTTCTTTGGACTCTGAGCTTGAACTCTGGACGATTGTTTTCGTCTCAATTTCATGTTGTTGGTTCTTTCATTTTTTATTCTTCATGTTTCCTTGGGTACTGGTTTGTTCTACTACAAGCCAACAAGGATTTTCCAAGAGATTACCACCATTTATTTATATATATATATATATATATATATATAGAGAGAGAGAGAGAGAGAGAAATGAACATATGACAAATAAGTTAAATAATATTAACATAAGACAAATTTTAGTAGATAACATCAAAATTTTATACAGGACACAATGCAGAGAAAGTCTTCAAATTCATGAGGCTGCTATAATAACAGTCAACATTAACTCAGGTGTCTTTCCTCATAGGTGACTGTATACTGAAATGTGTTTAAATAAAATATGCACACGCACACAACAAATTTCAGTTTAACTATTTAAATGCCATCACCTTGAGAGATTTGAAATTGATTCCAACAAATGTGAAAATGCTGAAATTAAAAAAACACTTATGCAACTATAGACAGCGCAAGCCTTGTAAAACAAATGTAGCAACATTCAAAAGTACTCAGAAAGAAAATAAAACATAAAATAAATAGGAATTCTCGCAAATTTGAAAAATGAAATGAAAAGAATTTATAGACAAAACTTGTCCATATTATTTAACCAAACATGTTTGAGAGAAGAATTCTTGCTGCCTAAATACACCATATATATATGTCAGCATTAAATTACCCATTGAAGTTGATATGCCATAAAACAAACCAAACCAAACAGTTAGATTAATGATCCAAAGTGCTTTACTATTTATGTTATTTTTAATAAACAGTGCCCAATACAAAAGTAAAGCTTAAAATTATGCAAAAAATAATAGTACAAACCAGAAGAAAAACAGAAAAAGAAAAATCATTTGGTACTCCCCGCCGTTCAACCAAATGGTTAGTAATAAACTAGGACAAAAATTCCTCACTTTAATCAAAAAACATTCTCCTAATAACAGTAAACTTAGCAAGATCTTTAATAAAAACATCCTAAAAATAAGTTACAGCTATACTAAAACATTAGAAAGGATAATAAAAAAAATAAAAAAATCTTGAAAAAATATGCATTCCAAAATCAAATAAAGAGCCTAAAATAAAATTAGACAATAATAATTATGTAACTGTAGAAACCCTGAAAATTGCCCTTTGAATAAAAAATGCTGCATAGAATCCGTAGTATACCAATACGCAATCTCATCCATTGAGAAACCAAATATTGAAAAGATCCACAATAGGATCCACAAGAAATGAGTTTAAAATGAGGTGGAGACAACACCAAAGTTCCTTCAATAATAGTAGAAACCAAAACCAAACATCCCTATCTAAATATTTTTGGCATTTAAAAGAAACAAATAAAACACCGACAGTAAAATGGAAAATAAAAAATATAACAAGAACTTGTAGAACCTGGGATGACACATGCCCTTTATGCCTGCATGAAAAACTACACATTATTTTTTTTCTAAAAAAACAAAAAATTATTAAATCAAATAAATGAAATAACATCTTTTTGCAGACACTGCCAAATATACACCTTAAAAAATTATTAATTTATAAATGAATAGAAAAAATTTACAATAGAAATTAAATCCTAAATTAATATGCTGATCTTTTAGCGTTTTCATGGAGGTACCTAGTTTTATTATAAATACAATAATAATTACAAAATTAACCTATTATTGCATAAAGTTTCCTTAAAATTTGGCAATAGGTATATTGCCCCACTGTAAAAACATGCATTAATGGGTTAAATAGTTGTAATGAAAAGAGACCTTTTTAGAAAGTTGAATATTAAGGTTTTATTCGACATAAAAAAGCATACATAGTTACCAGTTACATAGTTAGAAGATATGGACGAACAGACATCAGAGAGGAAGAAAGAGGCATCCCACCATTATTTATAAACACAAGATCATGTGACGTGAACCAACGTGAAATCATACAACAGTTCATATGCAGATAAGTAGAAGGTATTAAATGAATGAATACAAAAGAATTATAAGTATATCACAACACTCTCCGTTACATTTTATTGATACTTCGGGTTACGGATGATCTTTCGTTCTCATCTTGATGATTCGAGAAGAAATCCCAGAGCATCCTTCCCTAAGTGCGACCACTGCTGCTGTTCTATATCCCGAGACTTCGTTTCGCCAACTGAAGTGGAGGATTCACCATTTATTGTGCTTTCTTGTTGGTCGGTAGACATTTCCGTTTCATTGTTATTTGATGGAGTAGAACTCGATGGCTCACAGTGATCGGTGAAGACAGGAGAATCCGAATCTACAAACGATGGGACAGTAACAGGTGCGGGGGCAAGGTCTTCTGTTGAGACTGTTGACTGATGGCAGTCAGGGAAATGAATTCTCGCAAAATTGGGAGTTGCTGATATTATTTCCACCGGTTCCACTAGTGGGTCAGACTTGTGTTGACGGACAAACTTTCTTAGCAGTACCGGACCTCCTTGCAACCATTCAGGTAGGGTGTATCCGGTACCCGACCTTCTCGAAAAATTGAACAATCTTTCATGTGGTGTTGTGTTAGTTGCTGTGCAAAGGAGAGATCGAATTGAGTGCAGAGCAATGTCAAGTACAGCTTGCCAATGACGTTCATCCAGTTGCCTCAACTTTAGTGCAAGTTTGATCGTTTTTCATATTGTTCCGTTTTCCCCTCTCGCATTGTCCGTTGCCGATTGGATGGTATGGTGTTGAGTGGGTAATTACAATGCCATGTTGCCAGAGAAACTCTTTCAGTTCAGATGATATGAACTGGCTCCCTCGGTCACTATGGATTGAATCTGGGCAGCCAAAGAAAGTAAAGAGATTTTGGAGACATTTTATTACAGTTCCTGTTGAGATGTCTTGGCATGGATTGATGAAAGGATAGCACGAGTATTTATCTACGATCACGAGTAGATATTTAAAACTATTTGTTGATGGTTTTGGGCCCATAAAATCAATAGCAAGGCATTCAAAAGGGGATCAAGAATGGATTAAGTGACCAGGGGGAGGTTTGAAAAACATTGGTTTTAGTTCAGCACATATTTGGCATTCAGCACAGTAATGTTTAACATCTTCCATAGAGAAAGGCAGATTCTTTTGTTTAACAAAATGATACAATCTCGCTACTCCTAGATGACAGAGTGCTGCGTGAAGATCTTTTAGAGATAATGAACACGAAGCAGAGCATGAACAGGAAAGAGTATCTGCAGAACTATTAAGTGAACTTGGTCGGTATACAATATCATAAGAGTAGTTAGAAAGTTTAAGTCTCCATCGAAGTAGCTTATCATTTTTAATACGGTTTGGTGTCCGTGTGTTGAACATTATGAGGCGGCCTGTTGGTCTGTAACAATAGTAAAATATCGGCCGAGTAAAAGATCATGCCATTTACGAACAGATTCTACAATGGCTGCTGATTCACACTCCACTGCTGAGTGTCAACGCTCAGATTGCGTAAGAGTTCTAGAAAAATATGCTACTGAGCGTCCATTCTGAGAGAGGCAGGCTGCCAATGCCGTCACAGATGCATCCATTTCTATTGTGAATGGAACTTCATCCTCAATGGCCGCAATCGAAGCCCTGCAAATTTCATCTTTTATTGCCTGAAATTGACTATTGAGTTCTTCGGCAATAGGAAATGAGGAGATATTTAGAAAAGGCGAAATGCGGTCAGAGAAGTTCTCCACCCATGGTGAGTAGTATGAGAAGAGACCCAGAGCTCGTTTGAGTGACTTACCATGGTTCGGAGTCGGTAGTTCTTTGAGTGGTGTAAGTCTGTCTGGGTCAGGACTGATTGTTCCATTCTCCAACAGGTGTCCTAGAAACTTAAGTTTGGTGATGCCATACTCACATTTATCAGGGTTCAGTTGCAAATTAAGACGATCAGCAACTTCTTTGAATGCCTTCATATTTTCATTCAATTCTTTATTTGTCTTTCCCCCGATGACAATGTCATCAATATAGGCGAAGGTGCCTTTAAGTTCGTGTTCTCGGATTATATTATGCATGATACGTTGGAATACAGCTACAGAGTTTGTTAATCCAAAGGGTAACCGAGAAAATTCGTACAGGCCTCCGTCAGCTTCGAAGGCTGTATAAATTCTTTCCTCCTCACGGATAGGGCATTGGTGATATGCAGACTTCAAATCTAACTTGTTGAAAATCTTATATTGAGATAGATGGCGTATAATGTTTGAAATTTTTGGAAGAGGGGATGCATCGAGAAAAGTGTAGCGATTGATAGTGGCAGAATAGTCAATGACCATGCGACACTTATGCCTTTCATTATGAGTCACCAAGACTTGGGCTCGCCATGGGGAATTAGAGTTAATTATTATCCCTTCTTTTAAGAGCTTCTGTACTTCGTTCCGAATAAATTCGCGATCAGATGCAGAGTAATTCCTGCTCTTTGTTGAAATTGGTTTACAGTCATCTGATAAATTGGCAAAAAGAGCAGGTGGCTCTATTTTCATCTGAGCGGTGTTACAGATTTGTAAAGGAGGTATATCTCCATTAAAAAGGAATTCCACATGGTTGTGTAGTTGCATGAATTCTTGTCCAAGTATGACAGGAGTACATAAGTTGGGCAGAACAGACAGATGCATATCAGAGTATGTTTGTCCATTAATTGCGATAGATGCAATACAGTGACCTTGGGTTTTGCTCGTGAGATTAGAGGAAGCCATACTTACTGTGTCACTGGAAGGTAGTATAGGAAGGCCAAGTGATTTCACGACGTTCAACTTTATGAAATTATGAGTGCTTCCGCTGTCTACCATGGCTTTCAGACAAGTGTTGTTAAGAGTTACAACTACTATGGAGCATTGTGTGTGGGGTGTGTATTGGGATGAAGCTGTGAGAGCAATAAAAGCAGTGCTGGTTTTTATATTAGGTGATGTCTCTCTTCTTTTAGACCGGCTAACTTTGGAGAAGTGGCCTCTTTTTCCACACGAAAGCCAGTCAGCATTTCTTGCAGGGCAATTGTATCGAGAATGATTCTCACGCCCACAGAATTAACATTTGGCATAGTGAACTGCTTGATTAGTTCTGGTAGCAGCAGCACATTCTTTAGTTAATTCATCTGTAGAATTATTACTGAATTCTTCTGGATAAATTGATGCTTTTGCTACAACTGACGAAGTGACATAAGCTGCTGCATTGTGTTGGGCCATTTCGAGACTTCTCGTGGTTGCTACCACATTATCCAAATTAATTTCACAGCTTTCTAGTAGTCTCTGCCGTATCACTGGGGAAGTGAGGCCTGTGATAAAAGCATCCCTTCTTGCTTGTTCGGCATGCTGAGAAGCAGTGACATCTTCAAATTTGCAATCCTTGGAAATATTTTTTAAAGTTAGAAGGAATTGATCAATAGATTCACCTGGCTGTTGTTTTCTAGTGGCGAGCAGATGATGAGCAAATACAGAATTAACTGGTTTAATAAGTAGATTGAAGAATACTAATGGCGTTCTTGAATGCCATGCAGTTTGATATCAGGGAATAGACTCTAGGTGATATATAATTAATTAGTATGCTGAGCTTGTTAGGAGTGTTGTCAGGGTGAGCTACTGTCAGAGAGTCGATGCAATTGACAAGGGTACGGTACCAGTGATTCCATTCATCAGCGGTTGTCTCCAACGATCCTTCAACTTGACCGGGTCTCAGAATGGTATCCATTTATTTTTATGTTAAATAAATTGTAACGAAAAGAGACCTTTTTAGAAAGTTGAATATTAAGGTTTTATTCAACATAAAAAAAAGCATACATAGTTACCAGTTACATAGAAGATATGGACGAACGGACACCAGAGAGGAAGAAAGAGGCATCCCACCATTATTTATAAACACAAGATCACATGACGTAAACCAATGTGAAATCATACAACAGCTCATATGCAGATAAGTAGAAGGTATTAAATGAATGAATACAAAAGAATTATAAGTATATCACAACAAGAGTTTCAACATCCTAGTTTAGTCAAAGTTAATTAAATCAAAGGAGGCATAAAACTTGATTAAAAATTAAATCCAGTGGGTGGCTTACAATTTTGGCCTAGTGTGTGTGTGTATATATATATATATATATATATATATATATATAACAATTTCAGATATAACTAAAAGTATATCTGTAAAAAGGCAGTAGGAATGATAACAAAAGGAAATTTATTTCATCCGATACATTTCCTCCTTTGATCGACTTTATCAAGGCAAATATAAGGATTTTATTTTGCAACAAATATTTATAAACAAAAGTAAAAATGGTGTTAGTTTTACACAATTTTTAAATTTAAGAAAACTCAAAAATATGCATCAGACTAACTCAAAGTCTAAGTAAATTATGGAAGATTCTAAGTGACTTAATTCAATGTCTACTAAACAAAAGTGAGTAAATGTTAAATTTATTTTTATGATATTATTATTTATATTAGTTTAGGATTAATTTATGTATTATATATTTTAAATTTAACCATTTTATTTTCATTTTTTTGCAAAATTTATAGTAATGCATGTTGGCTTGGGAAAGAGGTATTTCTTTCAGGAAAGGAGATATTTGAAAAAATCTGGGACACAGATTTATATTTTAGTAAAGTTAGTGGTACTCTCAAGAATTTTCCATCTAAGTAAGTTACTTTCACTTATAATAACAGACACACACATATATGTATATTTGCATACCTATAGTGGATAATTGGTATGTCCCCATTCACATAAATATAGTAGTAAATACTGTATGTTGGTCTGCAGTTGGAGATTCATTGTGGAATTCACTTGACTCACTTCTAGCAGTTGACTACTTCTACTCACCACTGGCAAATCTTATATGTGTTGTTCTTCTCCTAACTATTATCATTCATTACCAACCTTTGTGTGATTATTCTATTCAGTAACCTTCCTAGGTTACAACAATATATATATATATATATATATATATATATATATATATATATATATATATATATATATACACACACACACATACAATTAAAACAAGAACATTCTTCAGAAGAGTGAGTCCCACTTGTTTGTTTATTCCTTGTCTTGTTGAGAAAGAACACAAGTTTGTCCCAAAATTCTGACACTTTTTCAATTAAAGGGATACAACTCTAGCTTTCAATATCTCATCGGGCATGTCTCTAAATTAGACTCCCATAAGGCTAGTGGTGGGGATGGATACCAGCCATTGTCCTGTAGAAATGTGCTCCTGAACTGGCTCCTGTTCTCTCCAAACTATACAACTACTGCCTCAACAACTCTTGTTTTCCAGCCTGTTGGAAATCCCCATCTGTTGTACCTGTCTTTAAGAACTCTGGAGATCTTTCTGATCCATCTAACTACTGTCCTATCAGTCTCCTACGATTCTTCAGCAAAATCTTTGAAGCTTTAATCAATGCCAAAGTAGTTAAGCACCTTACATCCCATGCTCTGCTCTCTGACAAACAATATAGTTTCCACTTTGCCTGATCTACCACTGATGTGCTCACGGCCATAACTAAATTTGATTACCACACACTTCACAATAACAGAGAAGCTCGAACTGTGGCTCTAGATATCTCTAAAGCATTTGATAGGGTTTGGCATGCCAGCCTTCTTCATAAGCTTCAGTGATACAGAATTTCAGGATGATTATTTGACTTAATACAGTCATTCCTGTCAAACCATGTAATGAATGTCATCCTAAATGGATTCTCCTCCAATTCCTTTCTCATGAACTCAGGTGTTCCCCAAGGCTCTATCCTGGGTCCTACACTGTTTCTGATCATTAACAATCTTCCCAATGTCATCAGTTCCCAAGTAGGTATCTATGCAGACGACACCACTAATTACTCCTGCCTCAATAGCAAGTCTGGTATTGCTGACAAAACTAACCTGGCTGTTGGTCTCGAAAAGTATCTCCAATCTGTGGTTGACTGGGGCAAGAAATGACTGGTAAACTTTAATGCCTCAAAAACAAAACTGCTCTCATTTACCCACCACAGAGAACCCACCCTGCCTCCCATTAGAATGTCTGATGCTCAACTCCATGAGAGTGCCTCTCTACACCTCCTTGGTCTCATACTGTCTGCTGACCTGAGATGGAACAAATACATTGAATCAATAGCTTCATCTATCACAAGGAAAGTTGGTTCTCTGTGTCATGCCAGAAAGTTTTTCTTGCCTGAGTCCATCTTTCAAATCAACCATTCACCCTTGCATGAAATACTGCTGTTATATATGGTCTGGTGCCCCCGCTGTTCGTTTCAAGGTCCCCAACAAAATCCAGAGACGGATATGCAATGTGATTGGTCCTGATCTGGTATCTCATCTACAGTCACTTTCTCACAGACATGCTGTCACATCCCTCTGTCTTTTCTACAAATTCTTTCATGGTAACTGCTCCAACAAGCTACTTTCGCTAGTTCCCAAACTGCACAAATTTAAGCATGCTACTAGGTTGACATCTCAGTTCCATCTCTTCACTGTTGAAACTGTTAAGTGTAGCCATTTCTTCTACTCTAACAGCTTATTTTCTTGCACTTCCTGGCAGTGGAACTCCCTTCCTCTTACTTGCCTTCCTGATAGCTATAATCTTCAAATATTCAAATGTAATGTCAGTTGACATCTTCAGATACCTTGATCTATTTCCCATTCTTCTCTTCGTCCTTTCCACTATCATGCCTCTTTACTCTTGCTCTCACTCTCTGTAACCCTTTG